AAATATAAATTAAACTTTATATGTGACATTAACTCAACCATAGAAATTAATTTGAAATAAGGAGACGTAAAAAATATTTAGTTAATAAATTAATTATACGATATTTGACTATTATTTTTGTTGACACATTGTTAAGATGATCGTCTTATTATTACTCAAGCGACGATTAAAGCGAGAAATATGCGAATGAGAATTTTTTTCAAAATGCGATCGGAACAAATCCCTGATAAATAAATGTAATAATTAATGTACAATTCAATAGACACACTATATATATTTCCCGTATATGTATTTATATTAATACATAAAAAATTTTGGCTATAAATTAACTGTATTTGGTTTTGATAACATATATATAACATTATTGTTTATATGCACGGCGTTATCATTCACTGGATGGCCCTCGAGCAGTAAAATTATAATACATTTTGTATATTATCGAATTCCTATTCGAAATGCGATCGCAATAAATATTGGAAAATAATTTGTTATACTATTACAATTGATGAGATTAATTAATTTTCGATAAACAATATGTAATTGTATTGCGATAATAAGTCTATATGCTTTGTTTAAGAATGGATACGTTTCTGAATTAATATTGTATAATATATTATTATAATAAATTAACCAATTTTATTTTACGTTGAAAATTATGAATAATATTTTACTACATAATTTTGCTGCAAATTTTGATGAAATGAATAAATTAAATCTGGATTTAAATGTTTCAGATAGATATAACACTTGCGTTCTGTCGTTTGTCGACAAATGAACATAAACAATGAATAAATGAACATAAACAAATGTTGTATTTCATGGGTATTGCATAAATACGTTTTCGTACATGGACAGAACATCAATCAATAGAGTACCTACTCATTTTTGATGTGATTGATGAGTCGTGCGTACCAGATCGCTCAGCTATGAAAAATACTGAATATGTTTAAAAGATAAATTTGACATTAATATGTTTTATAAAATAGTATAGTATAATTTTGATCATTAAGTAATGATCAAAATTGCAATTATCTTACATAAAGTAAAGAGATCGCATTTTCTTTAAACAAAAAAGATGTAAATCTCACGTTTGCTACTTGAAAAACATAGAAGCATATGAGATATAAAATTGATCGTTCATTGTTACGTATATCGTCCGGATAATCGAGAATTATCGATTACAGATGTATACGTCAGGTGTAACGACGTTGCGTAACGCGTACATGTGCCGATGAGATATCGATGGCATTTCATGACAACCCCTTCGGAAGGTATCGGGCGTGATATCATCTGCAAGACACATCCACCCTCTATGTCAGTTGCTATTAATCAGAGCCCACTGACCGCGAGTACACGTGATATATCGTCAGTCGACGTTGCTTAGAGGGGCGATCTTATTTATAGAGTTATTTCACTGTGAATAAGGCTGAATGAGATGTCTCACAGAGTTAGTCTCGTGTAAAATACGTTGTACACAGTTGTATCATGTGACTTTTATATCCGTTCGTTATAAAATTGATTCAAAAAAAAGAATAAAATTTCAAAATTTACGAAGTAGATGTTCAATTTTATTACGTTTATATAAAATTTGTATCTCTTAAATTTCAGTGATACAAACGTAAGTTATATGAAACGCATCGTAGATTCAAGATCATTATATCTTCGAAAAAGATTCGGATAAATCGAATTAATCATCATAATGTGATGATTTAATCTTGTCATAATTTAATCTTTCTTATCTTTCCAATATTCATATTTTCCTTTTTAATTCAAATTAAAGATACGTGATACCGCAATATTAGTTCGAATAATGAAGCATAATAAGTATCGAGTCGATTGAGTGAGATTTCTACCGCGAAGATTCGGATATTTGTGGATATTTCACAGAGATCTATGATTAATTTTTAGTTTCGCGATCGAGAAATCTGCATTTATAAATCTCTCCCTTTCGCAGTGTGTAGCCTGGTAAACTCGTGGTGCATTTAATTAGGTCACATCGGTCCGCACTTTATCGTCACTCTTTAATAATTCCAGATTTCGTTCTCCCTAGTTGAGAAACGGGACCCGAAAACGTGACTAACACATGGCTAGGTACGTAGGTGAGTACACGACGACCATAGTTAGATGCTTGGGCATATACAACACGAGCGGGATGAAATCGCGGCGATTTATAACGCCGACACCAACGCGCTATCTTGCTGCGTCCAGCAGCTCCCATGAGAAAGCGAGAGAGTGGTTCTCTTCTCGACGATATAACATCGAAAGAGATGTGTGGTGTGCGTTACTTTCACATTACTTACACACGCTATGGATGCAATAACAGCGTTCTCTTCTGCCTAGGACATCTTTTTCATGCTCTTGCATTTTATTCCTCTCCCATAGACACTGTACGTCGGTGAAAATATTAAAAAAAAGAATTTCTATCTGCAAAATGTGAAGTTACTCGGCATTCCGATTATACCTTGTTACACTCTTGTTTTATTAAACATACATCGAGGATGTAATTAACTACTTAATTTTCCCTACTTTTTTATCTCTTTATAACATTTTACTTTTTATAACATCTTTTTATAAAAAGATATGCATGGACATAACTCAAAATGTCAGATTGCTCGAATAATATGGGAAATATTTAAATTCTGTGGAAATGGAATGTTGTAAATATATATATGCTGCAATGCATTTTTTAGCTATGTAGCACGATAGCGCATTTTTTCCACGCGAATGCGAAAACATTGGATTTTTTAAATTCTCTATATTACAATCGAAAGATATTTTTTATTTATGATTATACGTCATCTTTGCGTTATTATTTGAAGATAAAATCATGTCTGAGATTTAGAACTCGGTGAGGAGAAAAAGATTTTCATCTTTTCTCGCATAAGAATTTTTTTAGTTAGAAGAACGACATATTAGCGACATATTAAAATTGATAGCATATAACGCACGTTGCGCGAAAAAGTCTTTTATCAATATTTTATATTTTTTTTAAAACAGGAACATTGCATTTTTATCAAAAGCATTAATCCTTTTACCGCTCAAGATGCAAATTTACAAACGGATGTTCTCGTTTCTGTTATGGATGTAGCTTTAGGCAGCTATGTTTTATCGGATTAATTACATTCAGCGTTAGTTTATAATATGAAGATTACATACATCTATATTGAGTTATCATCCTCACATTATATTTCGAATCGCATTAAAATTTGCGCACAATTATTATAAATGCATTGTCACATTCGTGCAAATGGTTAACGAAATAGTTAAATATATATTCAGTAAATAGAGTAAATGAGAGTAAATATGTGTACAACTACCAAGTAATTTATGATGAGATAATTTCGGTGAGATAACATATAGATTAAAAGATAATGAAAATTTTATATTATATTTATATTATATTATATTATATATTATATTATATTTTTTACACAGAAATTATTTTGTTTTATACATCATCTTGATCAATTTTTATTTTATAAACTGTGCAATGTTGCGTTCGCTAACATTCGGATATTTTTTGCATCAATCGAATCTTACCCTCGTATTTGCTATGATCAATAATTTTCGCCGATCGTGTAGACATTGTAGTTTTATTTTTTTCTCGTTATTTATGCAGGAAGACGTAACGTCCTGCCGTTATTCTTGCGCCGACCTTAAAACTTCGATATTGCATTTTGCGGGCAATATGCTTCTTTGTCATCAATACTTTAAGAACCGAAGGGATTCATAAATTTTGTTCCCTGCGTTGATCGACGTTACCGTCGCCTCGTAAAGTTGCATATTTTCCGCATCTGTTGCTAAAACACTTCAAGGAGCGAACCAGGCATCATTGATATTATTCGTTCGTACGTAAAATTTCTGCGAAGATATTAATCGTGATTCCATTGTAATGTGTTTATATATATTAGTTGCAATTACATCTTGTTTTGCAAAATTCAAAGAGCCAAATTTTTGTCATCTGGATTAAAAATAATTTTATAGTTATAGGTATAGGCATAGTATAGGTATAATTATAGGCATTGTGATGTATAAATTATTGTTTTACATACAAGTATTTAATTAATGAAAATAATTTATATAAATGCTTTATCAATTATAAATAATATAAAAGAAATATGCTGATAATTTTTCTTTTTTCCTCTTTCGCTTTTAAAAATATAAATATTTTTTTTATTTCATCATTTTCGAAATGTCAGAATAAAATTAAAAATTCTGTCTTAACCGCTTAAAAAGTTCGTTTTTATTCCTCTTGCCTTGTTCGCGTGAAGAAGATACTATAAGATCGTCGAGCTGATGCCTGCCGATGCACGATGCTAGACACGAGCGTGCAACACGCAGAACTTGATAGGAAAATACGTGGAGAATAGACAGGCACGCAATCATTTTAGAGCTAGTTAGATTCCCGTTTGTCTATAGTTGTAAATTAAAGCGGGATAATGTTGAATCACCTATTCTCCGTCTTTGCGAGTCTCGATAATTGCCGAGAAAATATCATTATATGATCAGCTGATAATGACTTCTTGTTAAAACAGAAATACCTAACTTTGACATATAAAAGAGACAACTTGGAGTGTAATTCGGGGATATGTAAAGGGATTCCTCCTGTCAAGAAAGATTTGCAACACTTTCGTGAAAGAGATTCACTCTTTGAAATTTCCCAAGTCAAGTGCACGCGTGCATTGGTCTGACGTAAACACGTGCCGCGTGTGAAAAATGCATGCGAATCAAGTTACGCGAATAGCAACAAGACGCTAGTGCGCATTGAATACTTTTCTCTCAAGGCATGTTAAATCGGCCACATGGGTTAGGTGAGAAATCTGGAAGCGCATTGGTGAGAACGTTCCTCTCAAGGTGAATGTGAAAAGTTACAAACGTTATCCATACTGCGCGCTTCGAAATCTCACCCAGGGGGTAAAGAGACTTATATTTGATTAAAGTTTCAAGACATCGGGTATATAATCGTATAGCCGATCCTCTTTTTTTTTTCTGTGTCTTACCTTCATTTGGCTTCGAAGCGTTTGTCCCACGTACCGAGGTTTTCTCTAGAAAAATTAATGAATTAGAATTATACATAACCACGAGTCTCTGCCTTTAACTTATATATAAGCGAGGAATAAATATATCTCACATTTGTGCTTTGAAAAGCTACACGCAATTTTCACGAGTGAGATTGGCTTTTAGATTAATTGCATGTTACATATAAAAGAGAGTTGCTGCAGTTAATTAACAGCTTCGTTAATTTTTAATTGGTAATGAGAAAATCTCTCAGAGAATTCTTATTTCTTTTTTATTATTAGATTCCATTCTAAATAAATTTGTAAACATAGTGCTCATTGCTTTTATTAATTTTTTGTCCAAGCTATAATTAGAAATATGAAAAAAAAATAGAAAAAATATTGCAAAATTAAATTAATATTTTATTCTTTAATTATTTTTATTTGTGTTCAGAAGGTTAAAGTTCAAACTTTAGACTAAGATTCCGTATGTTAAGGATTAAAAGCTATGAGCATTTCCATATAAATATATAATTTGATTGAAATTGGAATTATTCATTTCGACAGAATTCTCGATAGAACGTACCAATTGTGGAAGATTTTCAATGGTGGAAATCTACGGTCATTGCATCGAATTATCGAAAGGAAACGCGGAAAGTTACAAACGGTATCCTGGAGCGGAGAATCTCGTTCGCGGGTGTCGACAGACTCCGCACAGATAAATAGAGTTCCTGGAGATCCAACGGGAAGATCGATGGTGTGGCACGTCCAATCCATCGGTGTGCCAGAAGCTATTTCTCGCGTGCATTCTCCCTGTTCTCGGCGTGTCTCACAGCATGTAGCAAGATTGACGAAATCGAATGAACTCCCAGCGGGAAAAAAAATGCCTCGTTCGAACGAGATGTGTGATGTGCCGGAGAAAGAGACAATATCATCACCGTCGATCGTGTGGAATTTTAATTCACTCCGGGCTCGATTCATTCGGATGTCAACACGGTTTTTCATCAATGATCCTTGATGTGTTGCACGATATATGTTCCATTGTCAAGTCCGATGCTTTTCCTGATGAGAAATCGTTGCACAAAACACGACAAAATTGATTCGAAGAAAAGTATGTGAAAGGAAATGTAATTGATTAGTATCGAGCGTTGAATTTTAATATTCATATGATATGTCAATTTTGAGATTCGCAGAAAATAATTTCATTTAAAAAACTGTAATGTCTCAAATAATTCTCAAAGCGTCATTATAATAATGTTTAGAAAAAGAAATCATAATTGTATATAAAAGTAATATTTAAATTATAATTATATAATTTAAATAATATAAATATATGAAATAAAGTAATTATATTATATATATATATATATATATATATATATATATATATATATAAATTAAAGTAATTATATATAATAACTTACCTGACACGTTACATATTATTTAAATTCTTATCATTTAAAAGATTACCTCAGATATTTCTAAAATCACTATCATGATATAAAGAGATAAGGCGAGTTTTTGTAAAATGCATATTGTATATTATGTGATTTCGTTTTCTTAACGAAAAAATTGTTAGAATCAGTTTAAATTTATATATTATAGCGCATCATCTCTCCCCTTTTCTCTCTCTCTCTCTCTCACACACACTTTTTTTTCTCTCTCTTTTTCTCTTTTTCTTTTTTTCGCAATGGAGATTTGGTTGGCTGCATAAAAGATAAATGTCTTCTCTCTATATATAATATACATTCAGATGATGTCTTAATGTGCGTCACGCTTTAAATTTTACTGTGCAAGATGTATGATATAATATGAAGTACGAATTAATTTTCGCTGCACGAAATTGTTTGTTTTCGTATACTTTACGGTCTACAAGACACCGTCTGAATGTACCTTGACGCGAGTAAAATTTATACAAATGTGCGATATTTAATACTCTGTCATTAAAGAACATATTAAATATCAATGATAGTTGATTCAATGATTGCTTTAATCCTAGCATTTTCCTTGGCAGTTTTCATCGAAAATTATCATAGATTAAACTGATTTATAACAATGCATAATACGCGCGTATATCCGTTTTTGATGTATCATTATTGTAATTATCCGCTAATTTGTGAGCTGATCGAAATAATCTCAAAATATTCGACAAATCCCTTTACAGATAGACGATGGCCTCCCGATGTACTCTCGACGAGAATTTTGCTGCTTATAAATTATCAATAATAAAATAATATCGTTACGTGAAATGAATGATGGAAGTCTGTTAATTGAAAAATTCGCGAATTGTACGCGCAAATCCTCACTTAAACTCATTTCGCGCTAAAAACGCCCCGATAAATGCATAAAATTTTGAAATATAATGACGCGAATAGTGATAAATGAGGCCGAATCGAACAATTTGTCTCGATTATCACAGCCGTAGTGATAAGCGATACCGGCCACTCCAATAACTCGGTTAGCAGTTCACGTCGCGGACCTTTATTGTTTCCCGGTTATCGGTTATTCGATGCATAGATTTATGATTTTGCCGTAGTTTTGGCCATTTCTGATAACGAGATGTTAAAATGTTAATATCGTGTAATTAACGCGCGCGCATGCTTAGCATGCTCGATATAATTGTGTTACAGTACTCTTGTTTTACAATGACCTGATAATTTGCTTAATGAGGATACATCTGCTCGGCAGCTTGCTTGTTATCCTTGCGGTAATCTATTTGGTTCGCAAGCGTCTTGCGGTGTTGCGTTACAGAAATGTTTGAGCTTGATGGAATTCTGCAGGCCCGATGCGAAATCGGAGCGAATTCGGGTTAAAATTAGGCGCTTTATGTGAATATATGTGGATTTTATTATCATTTATTAGCGAATAATGCACGAATATGATAATTAAAGCCACATATATTCACATTTGACATAATTGTACATGAAGTAATACAATAATATCCTTTTGTAAAAATGAATACAACGTTATTATTTCTAATTAATTGTAAATCAATCATTAAATTTAAAAGATATCTTCGATATTATCAACCATTTAATTAAAAAGATATCTTAACCGATCTGTTCTGAGACGTCTATCCTTTGATTAAAATTCGAATAGAATCCCGCTGAAAACTAACGTATACATATGTAGTGTTCTCTTGCGATAATCTTGAATGCCATGCGACCTACACATTGCGTTTAGAATAAAGGTCTATTTACATTTGTCCGTTTCGTATCCTTGCATAAACGCTAGATTCGATTCCATATGATTAAATGCAAGTATTTACATCATTCTGCAACTGTACCGGTTTCGCAGATATCGTTGGCGACGATCTTTTCACGAAACTAAACGTACAGATATTGACATGTAATACAATACATACACAGTAAAAAATTGTGTGTTCATATGTTAAAATTTTCTTATGTTATCACGTTTTGATCAGTACTTTAATGTAAAATTAACATACAACTTATAAGTTATTATTTTTATAATGTTTTTATGTGTTACATTTTATGTCAGTTTCATAACACTTAACACTTTGTGCATGTCTCTTAGAAATGGAATATTATTTTGAGTATTTTTAACATAATCATTTTAAACAATCAACATGTCTCAAAGTCAGTTTAACATTCTAAGAAAAGTTAAAGTGAATCTTCAAATAATCTTGAACTTTAACATACGAAATAATCAAATTTATTAAAATCAAATGTTTCTATTATAAATAATTTAAGTTAAAATAATTACTATTATATGTTAATATCTTACAACAATTCTTGCGAGTTATTGTAACTATTTTTTCATGTAATTTTTAATAAATCTGTATGTTATTTTTACATTACACTTAAAGTTAATAACAAAAATAAATGTAAAGTATTGTGTCAATTATTTAACATATTTAGTTTGTCAATAAATACAAAAACGTACGATGAACGAGTTATTTTAACTTAAAATTTAGAGTGGACTTTCTGGGACATGTGAAAATGTTATAATTAACATTTTAGTTTTTACTGTGTATATAAATACGTATAGCGTTCAGGTTGTTGAATCGCACAATTTTGCTTCTGTCATGATCACAGAATTACGCGGCTGTTACGAAAAATTCACGGATGCGATCCGGATATGTGTAAATAATCATATCTGTTCTTGCCGGATATGGAACGGACAAATGTAAATACATCTTAAAGTGTTCCGAGAGAGAACGCAGCCAACCGTCTCCCCGTTTCTTTTATGTCAATGCACAATATGTTAAACGTAACACACTTCCTCTTTCTCTCTTTTTTTGGCCTTTCACCTCTTTTCCACCCCTTCACACGACGATAGAAAAGTTCGCGCACGAAAGTTCAAGCGGCAACTCTCGGGTCGTTGGCTTTCGGCACGTTGAAGCACCGTCTCTCTTTGTCATCGTCGCACGGGGTGCTTCTCGCCAGCTCGAGGTTCTCGCGAAACTCGCGTGGGAGCCGATCAAGCCTTCATCTAAGCACCTGGCTTGATCGAGCGAGGATAGCGACAGCCAGGAAGAATAGCGACGAGCTAGTGGCACCTGTTTGTGCGCCACTATGATGTAGCTCGGCTAAACTTTCTCCTGAAACAGAGTCAAATACACTCACAAGGAAACACTCGCTAGTATATCTCTCCGACGTATCGGGAGATAAACTTATGCAAAATAGCGATAGCCGAGATGAGAGAATCACTCGTATCTCCTGCGTCGAACTTAAAAACTCCATCGATATTCCGTCAAATTTTTATGGCGCGGTAAAAAATGTACACGCAAAGTATGGAGCGTCTCTCGACTTAAGTTGAGACACGTCCGAGGCTCGTGAAAATCGACAGTAGGTAGTCGCGAGTGTTTCCTTATCGAATAGCGCGATCGAGTTTGCACGAGTTCGTTGTACATCAGTTATAATGAGAGCCTGAGCGACGTGATGGTGCAAATATCGGGAAACATCTTGTATAATTCGATTCCAACCAAGAGAACGTGCCAAGCCTATATTACGCTACGCGGAAGATAATCGAAATGACATTTGTGCGCGAGTCTCACTTTGTATGTTCTGCAAATTCCGCGACTTGTATTCCCAAGTGAAGACGCCGACGCGAAAGAGACGTTTGAATTTATGAACGTATTATTTTCGCATATCGCGCGAAGCGAGTCTCGTCGCGAGACGATCCATCATCGGACGATCGTGTCGCGCGAATTTCTCTGTTATTTTCGCGAGATAGAGATGTCCTGGCTGTGACATATATTTTCGTATCTTCAATATTTCGTCGAAAAAAAATGCAACAAAAATTGAAGTTTATTTTATTCCAGAATTGGAAGGCATGAAGAATATAATTCTTCATCTTTTTCTAATTTTTTTAATTTGGTAAAAAGATAGAAATGTTTCGCAAGTAAAGTATCAGCAATTAAAGGATTTAGTGAAAAAGGAGATAGCTACTAAAGCGATGAAGATGCCTTGGTAAAGGAATACGATGATATTGATAAAGATTAGCCTGAAAATTATAATATGTAAGTATATTACTACATCAAAGCTACGCAAAGATTGTTCGCGTAGTTGGTAAATTTGACTTGCGTACTTAGTTCCGTCGTAAAGTTCCCGCGCAAAAGCGTTTTAAGAAAATCCTTTGCAACAAGTTCCGACATCCCGGATTTACTCATAAGGATCAAATACCGAAGGACCTTTAGGCGCAAAACCCAAGTTCAAGATAAATATTAAATGCTACAAGAGTACGTACTTTAGTAAATAGCCGAGTCTATATGACAGCTACATTATCAATGATTTAAAACTCGCGATACGATTTCTCTCTTGAAAAAATTGACGCCAGTCTGTTTCTCAGCATGTTATCATCGAAATCGTTCGAGACAAGCTTTTACGAGCTGTCCATCGAGTCAGCGGATAATATTTTAAGGGCAGGCTCTTCCACAAATTTCATGCAATTTTAAATTGAACGAGACACATTGACAGGTAACAGTGTCTCATACATTTCATCTATAATGCAAGTAAATTATCGAATGGATGATATTTCGACAGCAATCCAATAAGAGAGTATCGAGAAAATATCGAAATATAAAAGTGTCCTCACCGTTTAAAACGTGCACATGAACCGTCGCGGGTTGGTCCGGCAGGGTGGTAAGCTGGCACGTATAGTTTCCGCTGTCCGTAGGTCCGACCTTAGCTATGCTGAGAGTCGAATTGGCCCCCTCTTCCATCAGATCTGTTTTGACGCTGCAACACATATGAATCCCGATTCGAAAGTGTTCGTCGAAAATCTCTCCAGTATATTGTTTCATATCGCATATTATGTGAATCTGACGTTATCAGAATCTACACATGTCAGATTTTCAAGTCACTATTGTGACTTGTATCTCAAATAATTAATTATAAATAATTATTTAAAATTATTGATAAATGATTGATTAATTAAAATCAATTATAATTAATTATTTAAAAGATACGATCAATAAATATATGTGTGATTGTATTAGATATGTTCAATAATATTCTCGTACATTTCGACTGAAGCTGCCAACGCAAAATCGCAGTAACATGCCAAGGGAGAGAAAATCTTCTAAGGCTAATGAGAACTCCTCCATTTCGCCGGTTTCTTCGCCTCGCGCCTCGCTTCTTTGTCTTAACTAATCGCCGACACTCCATCACCATTGAATCGTTTTTCTTCTCTCTTTCTCTCTGTTTGTCTTTTTCTTTATCTTCGCTTCCACCAACGCACGCTCGTACTTCGCACGTTTTTCTCGTCAGTTTTCTTACACAAGGGTAAGATAAGTTAATTGCAAATCGAGCCAAAATTATCAGCTTTCGTGAGAACAGTTTGTTCTCTGTGCCAAGAATAGACCGAATAATAAACTCCGTCGAATAAATGTTTGCGCCAAGTACACGGACTCCTATCTTGATAATACATTTTATATTGATCAACAGTCGTTTCTTTTTGCAGATCGGGAATTCGCTTCTTCCGATAGAATAATGATGTATGAACCATGATGTATTGCTTATAAAAGCTTATATTTCCTTGGAGAACATATACGTGATTTCCTAACGGCGAGAGGGAAGGGAGAACTGTCAGGAACAGAAAATTGATCACGAAATTTGAGATAATTTGGGCGCAAATGCGCAGCTCTTGATGATTTCCTATTTCTCCAGCATACTTTACGTCGATAAAATTTTACCGATCATCATTTTCTTACATGAATCTCCTATTTATTTCGTTATCGACAAAACGATGTCGAATTTGCATGAACCATTGAATGCAGAAATATCTGTAACGAGACCTGTCTTTCACGGAATCGCATTTCGAGGTGAAAAGAAGAGCGAACAATGCAACGCGACTTGGTTTAAGTGTGCTAAATGCAGGCAAAAATATACCCGGTTCCTCGAGGGAGAAAACGGTTTCCCTGTGCAACTAAGCTATGCTGCAAAGACGTCTTGCGGAAAATTGCTCTCGCGCTTGACGTTCCTATTTTTGTGAGAAACTAGTGGAAAAAAAAGCAAGACCGTTCGAGTGAGCATTTCACGACAGGATTGCAGATGGTGCGTAGCAGCAGAATGACAAATATTAAGAGATATATATGTATGGTTTATACATAATGATAAAATATATATAATTTAAAATATATAATAATTATATTTCTTTACAAAATAAATATTTTTTCTCTCTTAAAGAACTGGATATATAATTATAATGATATAATAATATAATTTATTTAGATAAATGTGAATTCTGAAAACTGTATTTTTACTTTTTTAATAATTTTGCCGGACAATTTCACCAATTTTTGGCAACATCATCATGTTAAATTATATGTCAAGGCTAGTTTAATAAATTATATGTCGTTTGCCCTTTAAAGATTGCTTGACGTGAGAGTGGCAGACGTTCGTTCGATAAATATTTCACAAATTTTTAGTATCTTTTTTGTACTCTACTTTATTTATACAGACGTGACATGCGAAACACAATCGCATAATTTTGTAATCATCCTGGATGTATTGTCGCCATGCGTTCCTACACGTTCTTTACGAGAGTAATACAAGTTTCTGAAGTGTTATTTGATAACGAAAACTTGTCCCCTTGCGTTTTGTTCTAACAGCCGACTACGCGCCGAATCGCTCCGAAAGATTGTATTTAAACTTTGATCTTCTCTCAGTACAAGATGGATATTATCTGCAGTATCCTGAATTGCTATAACTTTTATACGAGTTTGTTCACAAGAATGTCAACGAAAAAAAGAAGAGAAAAAGAAGATAAAATTCAGTACATGTGAAATTTTTGAGTTTTCTTGAATAGATTTAATAAAAATGAATTTAATTTAATTTAATTTTATTGGCTTTTTTATTTATCAACTTTTTATTGTTAGCTTTATTTAATCGAATTCCGATAGTTCTAAAATTTTCTGTCGCAAAGTATCGCTTTCACGACGCGATCTCATGCGATTGTAATTATTGTGTTACGTGATAGTCGTTGCTTCTACGTTCTACAATGATTAACATGAATTCCACCAAGGGAGACAAAGATCGCTGTTTGACAATTGCTTCTCCACCTTTGCCCTTAACGTAAGGCAGCGCCTTTATTTATTCCCGGTTGCGTGTCGTTGAAAGTGGAAACTTGCCGTGACCGGGAAAAAGCGGTCTTGAATCGCGTCGAGAGACTTTAATCGAAAAAGTTGGTCCATTGCAATTTGTCGCATTCGTTACCTCCGGCCGGTTGAGCACTGGCAGACGATCGCTCGTTTATCCGCGACGTCGAGCACCCACACCTGTATTCAGCCAACCTAGGATTTTGCGAGAAAAGACGCTTACAATTAATCTGATACGAAAATGCGAACTAGGAAGCGCTAATAATTTAGTTTCAATTTAAAAAAAAAACTGCTAAATCTAATATAATGTTTTAATGTAAAAAACCTGCTAAGTCTAATATAATGTATGTCAAATAGATATGAATATTCTTCTATACAGTTATAAATAAAAGGAAATATTATTAATATATTGCATCTGTATATTATATATTCTAATTCATTATATTATAAGTAATTTTTGTCTTAATTTATTACATTAATTTGGAAAGACTTAAAATAATTCAACACCTCACCCAGCGCGTTTACTGCGTTTGCGAATAAAGTCGAGCTGCGCGCTAGGTTTAGTTAAGTAATAGGATTAATGTCGCGCTGGTGAAAACTTTGTTCTATGTGTGGCAATTTTAATACGATGATAAATGGCAATGGGCCAAGTATTGCGAAATATACGGAATAATTACAACATTGAGAGAATCGCGTACTAAATTAAACATTGTTTAGAGAGGGGAAAAATGGCGGGAAGGGAGAATAAAACATCTATATTCCTTTATAATCTTGTTAGCCTCGTATTTAATCTTTTTTTTTCTGTCAAATGGGCTTATTTAAGATAACGTGAAATCCGAATTTCCCACACATCTTTGCATAACGTGCAGCAGATGATCATGAAGATTTGATTGCTTTTTTCGCGACTTCGCTCGGAAATTGACAACACACATGATACGCAGCTGAAATAATAATGATTAATTGCACGAGACATTACTTTGATCGATGAATTGATGCGGCTGTTAACCCGGTATAAGCGATTAGCTATTTCTCTATCTACGATGCAATCAGTCGAAACGCATTGGTACCGTATAATAGTAGTCATTTATCATTCAACAACGGTGTCGACAAGCGACAAATGCGCTTTTTGCCGATGCAGCATTTGCTACGTAAATAAGTTCAATGATCAATCTATTAGTATCCTCGTGCATGGCGTCGTAGAAAATCACGCGAAATGGGATAATTTATGAAGCTAATTATGATTTGTTTTTTACTTTTAGTTTCTGACTGCACAAAAGAATGTACGTATTAAAAAATTTAAATGCTCTAGAGTAGCCCTCTTTCATTCTATCCTTAATATATATATAATTTAATTAAAGTATTAAAATATAAAATTAAAATTATATTAAAAAATTATAAATTAATAAATATATAAAAAATAAAAAATTTAAATGTAATATAATATTAAAATATAATATTAATTAAAATATAACAGTAAAGTATAAAATATAAACTTATATTCTGATTTTAAAACGCACTTTAAATAACAGAGAGCTTTATTTGAGATGATTCTAAAAAAAAGAATCAAATAGTAATTTTCTAGTAGAAGTTATACATTCTCCTCTTTTGTATTTAGCATGCGATTCATATAATGTTCCTGAAATTTACATAGTTTTTTATGTATTATTTCCTTTGTCTTTCTAACAGATTTGAGTACGCTTAATTATAAAATTCGATCTTCATATCTTTGCCATCACCGCAAACATCGATTCTATATCAATCTGCTCTTGTCTCTCTTTTTATTTTTCAATATTCTCGGCTCATTTCTCGGCATATTTTCTTACAATAAAATAAATTGGGTACTTTATAGGCAAATACGTGTCTTCGGATACTGATGTATATTGATGGCTCAGTTGCCTATCAGTTTACCCTGCAATTAATTATTAAAAGTTAATTGCTTGTCGTTGACTGAAGAGAATCTAAGTAAAAGTCGGAATTAATTCCACTATGAAGATGGAAGAATATTAAAAAATTATAAGCATACTCTCTAGTATACGCTCTTGTAATTGTTTTATTATTCTCTATTTTAATTTCGCGTGCAAGAATCAGCCGGCACTTGATGGATCGCTGCTACCTTGACAAAAGAAACCAAAGTGCGAGAGAGATCATTAATAAATCCGGACGAGCGATATGTCCTTCATCACGACGTAGATTGGGTCAAGTTAAACGTATATTGCGGATAAATTAAGATAGATTGTAAACATAACGTTAATTCTCGACGGCGCGGAAAACTCGATTTAACGCCAACGGTCAACTATGGCTTTGTGCATTACTATCGTCGTTGTAATTGGAAGTTTAATTACGATCCCGAAAATTTAATGTAATTTGACACTGTATAAAATGCTATTTTCCCCTTCACCCCTTATGTCTCACGATCGTTACGTCGTCAAGGGTTCTACTGTAATTTAATGGATTAAACGCCATGTTAAGCGCAATAAATCCATTGTTGCGTTGCCTTTAAAATGAATAGCGCTTGCAACTAATTCGATTAACCGTTAATCTATAATCTTGATTATATCCCGATTATATCCCGATTATATCACTTTATAGAGTAACGGTTAGTTTGAAATTAATATATAATTTTAGATGAATAATTAAACTAATATTCTTCTTAAACATCTCAAACAAGAAAATTTCTCGCGTTCTATTCTTGCATAATATGTAATACAAATGTTGTTTTACATTCATATGTAAAGGTTCACAATTTTTAAATAGACATCTTAACATGTACATTATTGGAAAACAAGATAATCCAAGTTTTCTTTGTTTATTAAAAATAAAAGAACTAAAAACTGTAACTCGTAGAAAAACTCGTTATATTGAAAAGCGTTTGGCAAAATTAATAAGTACGAATATAATAGGCTAGTTTAGATGAGACTATTTTAGAAAGTTTAATAAATGTTTTTTTTAAAGACGTGGATAAATTGTCAGAAAACTTTTAATATATAAAATGTTTCGACACTTATTTGTGTTTCTTCAGCAATAAAATAGACGTAAGAAACTTGAAAAATAAGGAGGGAAAAAATATTTATTTGACAATCCTCTAATGCCAATATTTCTATTATATTCGTACTTATTATTTTTTAGAAAATTAAATGTCGATAAAAGGTTACATATTAAAGTGCATATTGATACAATTCTCTTCACACACGCAATACGCGAATATAATATTATTTTTAATTTAGATGTTTCGATTATTTTTAGATTTATCGTATTGTATCGCGTATTTTTAATTTCATCGACGATGAAAACGTAATTTCATTTTAAAATTACTATTTTCTTTTTTACTTTTAACGAAAATTCTTCAGAATATCTCAGTATTCATCTTTTATTTTTGGTGCACTAGAACCGACAATGAGGTATCTAAAAATACGAGGCCATCAGCGACGCGTCGTTAAATTATGGAGGAGGGCTGGGTTGACGTTGGGTGATTAATTAAACGAAAGGTTAAATTAAGCGAGATAGCAATAATTCTCGCCTGGCCCTGCAGACGCTGTTACGTTGGGAAAACGAGTGCCGTGGCACTGCAGCAGTTCCATGTGCAACATGTTTACGGTCTGTGGTCCACGCAGAGTCATACGTCCCATGTGAGCGAACAAGAAAGCGGGAGAGAGAAAGAGAGACAGACAGAGGGAGAGAGAAAACGATATTTGACATCGGTTCCCACAGGATGTAGCCGAGGTCAACTCGTACAACGCGTATTCAGAGATACCGAAACAAGCTTAAAAATTGTCGTAACGAAAAATTCTAAAAGCGAATAGGAATGATGGATATTGAATCCAAAAGACGTAAAATGGCCTTTACAATTCGTGAAAAGACAACTTTTACTTAATTTACTCTTAATCGGATTCTCAAAAGGGCGCTAATTAATATTATGTATCACAGACGGAGCAAAATATTTAGCGTCGGTGCTGCATGGTTACCGGGAGATCGCAGGGGGACGCTATTCCGTTCGTCGCAACGAGAACCACGACTTCGTGTACGGTCCGTATGTACAGAAGCGCGCAACGCAAACTAATTTCATTTACTGTCCCGCCGTGTGTCTCACCGGCGCCTAACTTTACTGTCAGAACGGGCCCGCAGAAGCATCGGTCTCGACCAAGAACCAGTCCACCGAACCCGAAGCCTTTCTCGTCGACACGCTGTCGTTCCAGCTTTCGCGGCTGCTGTCATCAGCCGTGTACAACCGCTCCATGTGAGCGCCGTACCGGTACGTATTTCCGGCTCCTTCGGGAATTCTTGCATCCTTGCATCTGAGGAAATCTCTCTCGCGAGGAGAGGCATATTGGAAGCAATGACATTCATCGTTCGCTGCGAGGGATGCGGATATAAATTCCCTTACAAGTTTTGCGCAAGAAATGTAAATTTCCGATGTTTTCCGAAACTTCTCCTCCCTCAAAGAATGGCTCTTGCTAATAAGTTTTGACGTAGCTTATTTTTCATGGATCTTATAATAAAATTTGCGCGCAAAGTGTATTTGAATGAGATGAAAAGAATTTAAAATTCTCGATGATTCTCCTCGCATAACAAGAATGAAGTAAATTAATTATCAAAAACACTCGCCGCACTTATGTGCGCACTTATGAGTCGAATGTCCGTTTTGTTCGGTTCTTTTGAATTCCATAGTGGACATAATTCAGCGTGATAAATTACATCATTTATCATATTTAACAAAAGCGATGCTGGACGAGACAAGAAAAACGCGAATACGCGACAACTTATAAATGGGATAAAATTTCGCGAGTCTCTCCTCTTCCGACTTTCGTGAAATTTTCAAGCTCGACTTGAAAACGAATCGGAATACGCTGCATAATGGAATGCTTTGTATCCATATCTCATTGATTCATGACGTAAAGAACTATATATTAACGGAGCTTAATACGCGACGGCGTGTCTTGCTCCCTCGCCTTTTTCTTATTTCCGCCCCAAGTTTTATTCAGCGCGACAGCTGAACGACTCCGTTCGCTATTATACGGATCGCGGATAATGAATTCTTATGCTTCAGAATCAGTTGAAATTCTACTGTTTCAAGCCAACTCTTGCAGGAATCTATAATAATATATAATTCACAATGGCAATGAAAGCGAGTCGTATTTTTTAACGCTCCGTAGCTTTGAAATGCTCCCAGATGATCTCCGACGTAGGACAAGGAGTAAGAATTACACGCGCGATCTAGATTTGACTTTTCCGGACCGTTTCCGTCAGTTGACATAGAGTCTTTCAACTGCGAGTAAATGCTCGTCAAACAAGGAAAAGTTTCGTGAATTAATTACACTGCGTTCGCATAACCGCGTCAAGTTTGCCTGACGTTTAGATTATACATTTCCTGTATTTGCCAAGAAGCATTTTGAATCAGAATGACTTCGCGCAAGTAAATTTCGAATATAATGGCGCTATTAAGCGTAAAAATCTATTCGCTCCTTTCTCTCTGTCTCTTTCGTTGACACATACATCTAAAATATATTATATATCTTTTATGCGGCTAAAATTATGTGTCTCTTGCATCTGTCTTTCGTGCATAAACTGCCACAAGATAAAATATATTAATATTCTAATGAGTCAAATGTCTAATAAATGGACTAGACAGAGAAGAATGTCGTTTACAATGTGATGTAAATTGACTAATGGACAGTTTAATCGATACTTGTCTTTGAGCTCCAGTTGACAGGAAGAAGTAGGAAAAGAATGCGATATTAAGAACGTTTGAGTTACCTGATGCCGCCCCTCGTCGTGTCGTAGTTCAAGATTCTGTTGCCGTGAAGCCACTGGACGACGCTGTATTGCACTTGCATCGCTATATGACGGACGACGCATTGTAGTTCGATGGTGCTATCGGCCTCGTAGTATTTATCCCGCAATGGTTCACCTAGAGCGTCCACTATTTGGACGGACGGTGCTGAAATTCGATGTAAAACATGTTAATAAATCTCAATAAATTTTATTCTCCGACTTATAATCATATCAATAATCATATCCAAAGGATAAGAGAAATTCAACAATAATGATACCTTTTGTTACTTGAGGAAAGATAAAGTGGTTAGTATACTTTTCAAGAGTGCATTGTTATCTCTTTGCATATATACTTGACTATGTTTGAAGTCGTAATTTTTTGATCAAGAAAAAAAAGATTGGCATCGTAACCAGTTAAGAGCGTTCACGAGCGCATTTTCCTAAAAGTTTTTATCCTCTTATAAGAAGTTTGGAGCCACCATATTGAAGCAAAAGTACGTACTACATTTGGTTTAAACATCGTAGTATCATAGCTTGCACGAAAGTTGTATGCGTGATCTATGTCATCCTATTCTTATGCAAGGGCGTCCGCAGGATTTTTTTCAGGGAGGGGGCATGACATAAAATGTTATTCAGATTGATTATATGTTTTGATATTTATACACCTTTTAGTATTAAAGCTTTCTCATCGTGACAAAGTATATGTAAATCGAGAAAGATATTTTGTTTTTATTTTAATTTTTTAAATTTATTTTTTTTTATTTTTATTTTAATTTTTAATTTTTTAATATTTTCATTTTTCATTTTTTATCTTCAAAAAGTGTATTTTTGTTAAATGAGGAAGGATGTAGGTATTGAAAATATGAAATAAATTATGGATATGAATTTTTTTTTATTTTCCAGAGGAGTGCATGTGCACCGTTTGTCCCCCCCCCCCCCCCCGTGGATGCCCATGCTCTATTCCAGTATTGCTGAATAACGTATGAAACTAATTCATTCACAACAAATCTGTGTTAATAAGGAATTATTTTTATTTCATAAAATTTACATGATGTATTTTTTTTGCAATTTTGCATGTAAAATTTATGAAATATTAAACCACAAGGACTAGATCATATCAATAAAAAGTTATACTAACATTGACAAAATTAATTAAGGATTAAAGACATAATCGATCAAAACTAGATCTTACGTTAATTATTTGGTAGCGCTCGTCGTTATTATTATTGATATATATGTAATCTTATATCTATACTTATCCTTTTACTTGATAATCTTTTTACTTAAGAAAGATTTTTATATTTTATAAAATGCCATCAACATTATTTGCTGAGAGTTTGTCCCGACAATTTGCACGTCATGAAATTCAGCCGTATATACGAGCGTGATATTGGATTATATCGAATTCGACTTCAAATATTTAACTTTATGGGCCAATAAATATCTCTCATATTGACGTCATTGGGTTGTCCACACGATCGAGCACCCAAACGTGATCGAGCTCAATTCATTCGCATATTCCCATCGATGTCTTTTGTCGAACTGGACCATTTCCAACATTCTTTCTCTCTTTCCTTCTTTCTTTCTCTCTCCTCTCGTTCTCCCTGATGCTAGATTCCTGTTTACTTACTTGCAGAAGTGTATCGCGCCCATGAAACCGGGCAACATACGACTATGAAAGAACGTACGAAAGAAAAATCACGAAAAAGAGAAACGTTTTGGAGATAGATCAGTATCCTCCTCCCTCCCATTCTAATGCCTGACCTCATGAATACCACAGAAAATGTAATCTCTCTCGCGCTTGCCCTTTTCTCTTTCCCTTGGCCTTTTTTTTTTTCTTTACATTCCCTATCTGAGGTATGCCACGTTTTATTCCGCCTGCTTTTACGCCACGTGATACAGAATTTTTCTCTATTTCATGTATGAAAATATATTTTTCGTTCATTTTCCTTTTCTTTCTCCTTCGCCCGATTATTCCACATTAACGCTCGCAAATTTCAAGATATTGCACATTTTCGCAGTTAGTATGAATAATAAAACTTCAACCAGAAATTTAAAAAAAATACTTATCTATGTTGAATTTTGCTCTATGTTGAATGTTGATGTTCTATTTTCATTATTGCAACATGAAATGTCTAATCATAAATTAAGCGAGTAAGATTTATGCAGAAATTATTTTCAATGAAAAACTGAAATTTTTCTAATATCAACTCGCAAAGAAATATTTACTCGTATCTCATTTTTATCGCAGAATGCATGAGAAATAAAACTTGAAGATTTCTCGCTGTGAAAACTGAATCTAAAAAGGTACATCATCTATTTCACTCTTAAACTCGAAAAGAAAAGTAAGTTGTATATTAGCTATAAAATTCTTTATATGTTGTAATCGCTAAATCTCTACCGTTCTCTCTTTTATTAACGTCTTGGATGGAAAGGACACGCGTCGACTAAATTGTCAGAGAAATTGGCTGCATAGGAAGACAGACGACAGATGGAGGTCGAGGAGAAAGGACTGCATACCAAAATCTCGGCTACTTCATCTCGCGTAGTCTCAGCCTCCTCTCTTCTAGATTAAGTGTTGATCCTTCGTTTTACGTGCGCTCGTTCTAGCAAAAGCGAAGATCTCTTGACGTTCCTTGAATGTAAGTGCCCAATCAAGAGAACGAAATTATTTGCTTTGTATTCTTCTCTGTATTTGTGATCATCTAGTATTGATATCCCGATTATTTATGCAAATCATCTCTCTATTATTGTATCGAGAATTTGTCCGAAAAATTAAAGATTTTTAAAAATTAAAAATTTCAGATATTTATATTTTGTATCGCATTAATTATTGGACAGTTTCGTTCAAGATGTGAATTGATTTATGTAATTGTCCGCAGCTCAAAAAATCGATGCTCTCTTTTTTCACATTTTATGTCCATTCACGTACGTAATAATCTGTAATTTTCCCACGCCGATCCAAAAACAGCATCGATAATCGATTGAAACGTGCGACAATAGTCGGACGGGATGCATTCACATCACGTGCGTTAATTATTGTACGATGCAAACGCGATATATCGTTGAAACGCGATTGCAAGATTCGCACAATAGACAATTGTGCTCGCCGCAATTTAACTTTCAAAGTTAAACAGATACAAAAAGAGAATTGATTATACCGGCTGACCAATGAGAGCTGGCGATTCGACGATACGATATGTTCTTTCAATGGCATTTGATGTATCGAACCACGTTATAAAGGATCGCGTGAAAACCGGGCGTACAAAGGGGGCTTGCAACGCGAAACGATTAAACTTTAATTGTACGAAGATCGAATGTACGATCTCGATAATAAGAAGAAAAAAATGGAAATCACATTGTCGATGAAAAAAGATTATAATAATAATAATTATTATTTGTATTAAAAAAAAATAAATATATATATAAATATATATGGCGTTCCTTCAAAAAGATAATTGACAAAGGCTACTATTTTGACAAATTAATGAGGAAAATGGAGGAACCGGAATAAGAATGCGGTGGACGTTAAGCAGATAATCCCTTTGAACTCGCGTTAGGAAATTTCCCGTTGTAACACGAGGAAGCTACACTCATCTCATCCCACGGAAAGCGGAAGCTTACGATATAATCTCACATTGGCAAAGGCGCGCGGACCAGGAAATAAGTGCAAGAAAAAACCCGCTCTCCAATACTTTTTTTTTCTCGCGCTTTAAGCCTGTAATTTTATGCGATCCGGCAAAACCAGTACAGTGTCGTATTTTTATCTATAAATAAATTCATTAGAATCTTTACGTACGTTATCTTCCCGAGAGTCGGAGATATATGACTCTAGACCAAAGGATTCTAATTAAAAATTGCACTGATTATTAATTTTTTTCTTGTGCTTGATAAAACTATAATTTTGAAACTTTTTTAATAAACGGATACTGTGTTACCTATCTTTATTTTCACTTTTTGAAGAATGGATTATCGTTTTCGAGAAGAATATTTTTATCCACAAGTGAATCAGTAGAATCTTTGGTACGCACGTTATTTTTTCGAGAGTCTGTGCGATTAAATCAAACAGATTCCAATAAAAAATTGTGCTGATTATTAATTTCTTTTTCTAAAATTATGATTTTGAAACCTTTTTAATAAACAAATATCGTTACTTATCTTTATTTTTCTTTTGAGATTGACTGTTGTTTCCAAAGAAAATACAGTCTTATAATTTACTGTTGGCCTTTAAAATTATATGATTTTTTGTGTCCCTTCTATGTTTATTAAAATCTTCCTGCCGTTCGCAACCATTCCGTTGTCCATTTCTCGCTCCAGTTCCCTTTTACTTACCATTTCGCTCTTGTATCCCCTCATTTTGCCGAATGGCTCGACACATCTCAATTTCGTTTCGAGTTAGAGCGAGATGAAGTTCTTGCGCTTTGCTCTACCGGTTCTTCTGAACCGGACAGAACGTGGATTTTCTCTTTCCTGTTCCCGTTTATCTCAGCTGAGGTTCGTTTTCAATTATCCTTTTAAGCGATTTCAACCGCAAGAACATCAAGTCAATTTATTCGATTGCTAGCAAAATTTCACAATTTGAGCTCCACTTCTTTTCTATCTTTTATCGTTATTATTGAATTGAAACGTATACGCCAGAGATGTTGCCTCTTTTTCTTGGCTTTTTTACCAATTTAAATAAGCACGACATTAGAGAAAGAAATTCAAGACATTTTGAGAGCAAGACTTTCTATCATGTCTTAGTCTCTTATTTCGGTTCTTAGATTTATTACTAATTATTCTTCAAATTTATGATTTATATATTTATAAAACTTTATATTCAACTATTCTTACCATGGTTCAAAGGATATAATTTTTTGCGTTTCATCAAATAATCTTTCGTTTAGAAGCCAAAGAAAAATCTACATCACAAATTATTTCAACTATTTAATTTCTTTTACATTCCTATTCTTCGTAACGTCGTTAAATTCATTTCAAGCCCAGGCACGGGTGAAACAAAAAGGTGTTAAATGGAGAGAAGAGACATGTAAACTCCGAGAGAATAAAAAGTAGTAGAAAAATTTTCGCTCTTTGCTGCACTTCTTTTAAGAGGATAAAATAATTGTGTCAGATTGCTCAAAAGGAATTCCTTTAGAAATATTCACAAATGACACGTGGAATTTGAATCAAGGGAAATTTGAATGCAAAAAGCACGTTAATTTCATTCAAAGCGAATGTCAACGCGCAGAGATTTTTCTCTTTTGCGCAACTAACATTTTGATACGACATTCTCATAGTTGCAATTTCAATGTTGATATTACTCGATATTAACTCTATATTAGATCCACATTATCACTTACCGTTAATGTGTAGATTAACGTAAATGAATTTAGGCGGATGGGTGCTGATCTGACACTCGTATTGGCCCTCGTCGCTGCTATTAACACGCTTGATACGTAGACGCCAGTTGTCTGGATACTGAAATTCGATGGTGTACCTCGAATCACCCGTATATGTTTGCTGACCCACTGTCAGCAGACTCATCTTCTCGCCACTCTCCTGTCGTCGCACCCAGGATACCTAAAACAATTTAAAATAATTAATTTAAAATATAATTTAAAACGTAATTTAAAATTGGTAAAAATGTGATTGAGTTCCACTTAAGATTTCTTCAGAAACTTATATGACCACGACTCATTTTCTTCGCTCATTTGCAATGTCATTAATAATCGCACAAATATCTTCTTGATTTTATAATTATCTCGATCTATCGAGATCAAATTATTGAGTATTTTTTCAAAAATTTTTTCCATATTATCCCAATATTATCTAACTGTTGGTCGATTCAAAAAGCACAAAATAAAATATCAACAGGTATAAATAGGTACGTATTCGGTTTTGTTTAATTGTATCGACAATTCTCATGCAATATTATGAAATTTATATACGAGTGTATTCTGAGATTGTTATTTATTCTCTAGAAATTGTGTTCTCCCGATCGCAGAGAATTCAAATCTTATTCTCTGTATCTTTGTCTTCGCAAAGCGCAATTAATATTTCTATTACAATCTTACGACAATCGACAATCGTTTCATGCATTATTTATAATGATAAGATTTATTGTAATCAATTATCATGTACTCTTGCTGATAATAAATCAATTTTAGCGGTATATTTTCATAGAAACATCCTAGTCAAATAGATATTCATAAGTATTTAGGCAGAATAAAAAAATTTTTTTTGATCGAGGTGAAATGCTTTCTTGTCTTTTCTTTATCATAACGCGTATTCTGTCTTTAAGATCGTATTATTCGTATAACAGAAATTTGCAAATTAGCAGGAAATTGAAGACGATCAATTCAGATTTGCACAGGGGCCAACATAGGAGCAGATTGAGGCATGGTAAACGTGAATAGAGGATGTTTATCCACATAACTGAAATTGAATAATGTATTACCGAATAACCCCATTAGATGTACATATCTCTCATATATCTTCTACAAACGAATATTTACGAACGTTAATCGGGTATTATAGGCACTAGAAATTCGAGATCAATCGATATCATCGAGATTACAAAGATATAAGTTGAGTTTTAATTCGCGGCAGATATCTATTTAATTTAAAAGTGCAAAAATTTATACAACAAAATGTGCGGAAAAATTGTATATCGGTGCTTCTCATACATTAATAAATGTAAATAAAATTTTACGTATGAAATTTGTAATATTACACGCGCACATAATTACTTTATTTTAAATAATTTACAATTCCGTTGTATTGGTTAACTATGCTGCCAGGTAATAGGATATTATCTGTTCAAGAGCCACAGAGATTCATGTGCACATAACCGATATCTGACCGCATAATTTGTTCTATAGTTTGGAGCATGGCTAATGCGGAAACGGTTTGTTACTGTATTACGAGTGGCAATAAATGCATTCCAAATAAACGTGGCAGTAGTTGAAAATATAAACGTCATAGCCTTGCAACGCGACACGGTTTCGCGAATTAAATATTATCTCTATATTTTTGCAAAAGCTTTCAAATTTCAACAATCAAAATACAGTCAATATGCAAATATCAAAATATTTGCATTTATCATTATAAAAGTTTTTGTGTTATCAGTCACAGTTATATCGAGCAAAAACGATCGGGTATAAATAGTGACAAAATTTTTTTGAATTTTTGCAAGATCTAATGTATTCGGATTTACAGTATTAAATTATTACGTGCAGATTACGCAAATAACCGGATTGCCGGCAGAGATTACGCGAATTTCTCCTTAACTCGTTCCTTGAAGTTTAAAATGTACGAACGTTCGCGCACGAGCAGATTAATCATAATAAGCTAAACGTAGCTTACCCGGACCGTAATAAGGCAAAATATTTCGAGATTAGTCATGAATTATTGCGCGAAACGTAACAGTGATTAAAAGGTACGAGGGAGTGGACCGGATACGGCGAGGAAAAACGGAAGGAGGACACGAGAATGACCGAGTGTGATTGCACTTACTGTTTTGTCCTGCAGCAACGATATCCTACAGTCGAAAGTGACACTGGCGCCAGCCTGCACCGTAATATTGGAGCTCTCGCCTTCGAAGTGAGGGCCCCATTTGTGGTCGTGATGATGCTGATGCTTGTTCAGGGTGCTGTGCGAGTCGAAGATGTAATTTAGCATTGGTGCATCCGTCGGCACAGATCGCTTCGCCGCCGTCGTCGATTTCGTAGAAATCGAGTCCGTCGCCAGAGGCAATTCTGCAACATAATGAGAAAAATATGTGGTACATTAAATATCAATCGCATTAAATATTAATTGTATTTTAATCGCGGTAAAGAATTATCTCAGATTTTTATACCGGAAGATGAGCAGCGGCTTTTATTTTGTTTCACGATATCGAGAGAATTATTATCTTGTTACGCAAGTGTAAAAGCAAATAGGTACGAATTAATATGAGAGATATATTTTGTAATATAATAAATATAAACCGCACGCGCGTTGTGCGTATTACATAATTAATAATATTTCAAACAGCGGCATATAAATTACATATATTATAAATACGAGCGGCGAAGATTCGTTTGGCTCGTCATGATCGTTTACGGCGTAACGTCAAATTTACGCGTATTTTCATATCGGACGATTCTCTTTCCGCTTTTTGCATTCAATCTGTCGCTTCCGATCGTAACTCGTGACTTTGTTTAATCGATTCGCTGGCATTTTCCCGTTTCGGGCCATCGCTCAGGGTTATCGACATCCAGCCAACCTGCCAATAACGACTCATATCGGCGTAAATACGCATTTATGGCCGTAACAGGCCAATAGTCGAGACATATGACATCCTCAAATCAGTAGTCGGGACATATGACATTCTCGAACTGATATTCTCCCCGATTATGGTATAATACATCTCGATTTTTTCGTATTTTCCGTATGACACGTTTCGTTATTCTACCCATTGAAAAAGTCATAAGTCTTTGTAAAAGCGAGAAGAAACACGTGTAAAGGTTTCTCTCAGAATGTTACGTTTGTTTCTATTTTCTTTTCACAATTAATCATATATAATTATAACTGCGTAAAACATATCAAAATTTATTGTATTCTTTACTTATCTTAGAAAAAGCATTGTACTAAAGCACATGTAACTTATAAAAATTTTAATTTAATCAATCATTGCACATTACATTATTTTTAAGTGAGAAGTTAAGAAAAAATAATTTCTTTTTGTTCTTTAAATTGTGATTTTTCAAATAAATCAGTTATTAAACTGTAAGATTCTTTTTCCGTATTAAAGAGCGGTTTATTAAAAAATTGTGTAATATTAAAAAAAGCGTCTAATAAATGCGATTTTAATTTTTGTTTCAAAAGTAAGTTGTTTCACAGTAGATGTCAGTTCGACTTCAGCAATGATATTTCGTAACATGTATCGTTTATTGCTCTTCGTTCCTAGGTACTTTCAACTTCGATAATGATAATTTCCACAGTTACATTTTATGCTACTAACAAAGTTTGCAGAATACAAGTCGACATCGTTGGGTACATGGAATATCTTTACGGATATTTCGTCGCCAAGTAGAAACTTTTTTTTCTAAGACGGACGAGGAAATGGAAGGACGAGAATGTAAGAGGCAGTCAAAGAAAGAGAGAGAAGGAAAGGAGACTGAACAAGTAAGATTTCACATAACACAACTACGATGGAGAAAGTCATTGCTCGTCCGCGTTTCAAGAATCACCAAGTTAGACGCTAACTCGCGACGACGACTTCTTCTAGATTTGTACCACGAAGGAAGCATCCCAGCAAGCAGATTAGTTGCTGACTGCTTGTAGAATCGAATGTCGAGATACGAGACGTCGAGCTTCACAAGCTAGGAAGAAATAACAGGGAAAGAATAAGGAAGGAGAGAGATATGTCTTACTATTTCTTACTAAGTTATAATGGAAGTACCATATATTTTACCCCCTCTCCCACCTTCTCTCATTATTTTGTTTTTCTTTTATGTATGCCTTTCTTGGCAATGATTTTACAAATTTTTTTATATGAAAATATATAAATCTTTTTATGAAAATTTTTTATATAACAAGTATATACATTTTATATAAAAATATATATAATTCTTTTCTTAAAAGAAGGGATTGTCTTCTCAAAATTACTACGCGATTGAAAATTTTTAAACTTAAGATTCGGAAATCGTTTAAAACGGTTCTCTTTAAATTAATAAAAATCAAATTGCGAATTCGCACTTTTCACGCTAACGACAATCACTCTTTCATAAATTTAAATGCACGAACCTCGAGAGGTCTGCACGTCTACAACTATAAATATAAGAAATCGAGCGACGGGGATATGTCAAAAAATTTTGACGTACAGACTTCTTCTTCACAAGTCCCGTCACGTAACGCCAACAGAAGTTCCATCTGAGAGAGCACAGCGGACGTAAAGCCCGTTGCAGTCGATTGTTCCACGACCGAAGACGAATTGGAGCACTTGCACAGGTAATCCTGACTTTCATCGAGTCAGCGATAGGTGCACGGGAGTTTCCCCGGACCGGCAGCCGTCGTAAGATCCGACATGGAATTCACGGCATCGCGCGACAGGGAGAAAGGAGGAGAGAAACAGAAGGAGAAGAAGAGAGAAATATATATGTGGGGAGGAGCACAATTCCGCGACGCCAAGTCGCACGTCAAAAGGGATCAGTATGCCGCGGAGCGCGAAATTTTCCTTCCCGCACACGCTACTCTTCGTCATCTCGCATTTTCTTTATCCCTTTTCTCTTTCCCCTGGCCGTCCCTCTCGCCAGTAGTTTCTCTTCGTCGTTCGTCCCGTCTCCTTCCCGCTCTTGCACCGCCGCGCGTCAATTCCGTTCCCTCGATCACGGAAATTTTTCCTTCGCCGGAGGGAAGAAAAACTGATCGGGAATTCCGGTGGAACTGTTGGAAGCGTGTTCCGGATACCGAGAAGAATCTATCTAGCCAGTCGATCGGCTCGTCATACACACTCCTCCTCTCTCTACCTCCGTGTTTCTCCTTTTATCTCGGATATGAAAATCCGTTATGCGACGTATTGACATTAGTATCACCGGGTGAAGACTCTGCTTTGATATGGTAGCGTTGTTAAGGGAACGAGTACAAAAATATAGTGTGAGTATATAATTTTCTTTCACGCGCACTCGATCGATTTACGAGATGAAAAATATAGCAACAACAGATATAAAATCATACTTCAAGTGAAAATAGTGGAAAACAATATTTCAGATGATACGGGCGGGTCCAGATGAGAAGAGAAAGAGACGATTGACTATCAATTTGCATGTTTAATGACCAATAAAAATATATAAATTGTTGCGATTATTTTTATATATGAGATGTTCCGAATTTAAGAGTTAAGATTTTGGAAGCACGAAAGAAATCGATAAATTAAGAAAAAAATCTTTTGCAAATTTGTTTTTACTTCGTTTTGACGAAAATCGCAAAAAAAAAGTTTTTATTTTTTCACTTATTTATTTACATTGTTATTTTCTTGATGAAATTATTGCTCAAAATATTGGCCTATTGCAGCAATGCAAAGCGTCTAACATTGATAGCTCTTGCAATCAATGTTGTCGCGCTTCGTTTATTTACAACTCTTTAATTTTCGAGAGAATTTTAATTCATTTTTTTTCTTAATTCTAGGTTCTACAATTTTTATTTCATTACTTTTTGATGATTTTTTATGTTTCTTGGTGATTTGTGTTTGTTTGTTTTGCAATTTTCTTTAAAACGAAGCTCCCTGAAGGAAATCTTTAAAGAACTTTTTTTTTAGTTTATTGATTTTTCCCATTCTTTCAAAGTCTTAGCATTTAAATTTAAGACACCCTGTACACAGCGGCAATATTTACAGATGTACAAGGGTGAAAACGGTCTCATATAATAAATCACGCTTCTTGGAACTTAATTAATTAGTTGTTTCTACAAATCGCCTGTGAATTACGGGAGTCTTGTTCAAGAGAGTTTTGAAGAATCGATCCAAGTTTACGATATCGGAATTTAACAAATGACATCGTAATCTAACAATATAATATAATATACACGTCAGTATAAACCTATCTTTGGAAACTTTCCCAATAGAAGCTGAGAAGTGAAACGAGCTCCGTATCCGTGTCCAAACGGCTGACAGAGAAGTAAACAGAAACAACAGCGAAGCACCGTTAATCCCCGAGCAGTCACGCGCGGAATACAGTGTAATTCTACTTCTAAAGTCCGGCATTCGAGTACTAAACAGAAGAGAGAGAGATGGTCGCCGTCGGTATGTCGCTGGTAGCAGGTGATTGCGACCATTTGTCGGCAAAGTATACATTCCGAAATCACTAGCTGGATTACACGGCGTGACTAATTACACGAGCTCGTTCCAGTTAGACGCGAGATCTTGAACGCTCCGAAGTAATGCCCCGAAGAAACCCTCGGGGCGAAGGGAGAAATAAGGAGACATTTTTTTTCCTTTATTCTTCTACGTAAGATATAACGTAGTGCATCACGAGAAAGAAACGAAATGTAGTTTTCGCGAATGTTCCGCACATTACGCGAACGAAACGGAATTTCCCGACCGAAGAAGAATCTCGGTCGCGACAAGCGTTGATCGGTTCTACTTGGAAATCGTTTGCACCGCAGTGCACTTGTATAGCGTCGTTCTGTCTTCGTTCTTGAGTCCAAGTCCGGGGATATCGTTCCAGAATGGAATGGGGGTTTTCAACCCCTTCCTATAATTGTCTCTCGGAGCTCTATTTTCATAGACGGTGGACGGACAAAGGAGCGAGATTCACACGGCGTTGGAAACGCGCGATACAATCGTACGGTTTCTAAATCACTAAATAATTCCGATTCGTACCGCAGTCCATTCCGGTGCTCTCATGTTTTATGCATGCTATACCGTGCTACGTGTTACACATCGTCGTAGGCTTACGATGCAGTTCAGGGGATCTGTACATCTTGCCTGATCGCGCCCTTCTTCTCCTGTTTCTCCGGTGTCGCTCGCTCCGTCAATGAATGGTATCACGTTGAACTTGTCACCTCAGCTGTTTTTCATCGATATTTCAGTATAATACATACTGATAGAATTTATCGTAGCTTTTTTGTATGTACACGTTAAAAACAATATTGATGAAGGAAAGAGAGAAAAATTGAATAACTCATTAAAAAAAAAATATTTATATATATTCGCGTAATTTTTCATGAACGATTTTCGTTATTTTCTCTTTCAATAGAGAAAAATATATTTTCCCAAGAGATCAATATTTCAAAAGAGAAACTATTTTGAAGTATCAAAAAATTTGATGCAATGTTATGAGTGTTGTGAAAAATGTGATTTTAACAAAGAATAAAAATTTCAAATCGATTTAACACGTGCAATGTATCGTTGAGAAATAGCCAGCATTATACTTATCAAAATCCGTAACCTGCTTCGTTCTTTACAAAGTTACAAAAAAATAGCCACTTCGCAAGTTTTCTTTTCCACGATTCTGCTCTTCACGGATTTGTGTAATATTTGCAAACATGAAGGGAAAACATATATTGTATTGCATTAGATATCTTATGTCTTGGGCAGCTCTGCGAGACCGATTCGCAGAGGACCGAGAACCGATTTATGACAAACGTGTTGCAGGTGCAACGCGTTGCAGATACTATAAATTGCGAGAATTGCAGGGTATGTACGGATGGACTCGCGGCGAACATTCGGTTGCATGTTCGAGTAGTTCTCTCGAATTGCGAGTGCTGCATACGTCATGCGGCCACGCACGCGACGTGCACGTGCATTACACGTCCTGTCAATACGTTCTGTACGTCATATTGATTCAAAGTAACAGTCAAATTTAGTCCGACTACGCCAGCGACTATACTATTTCAGAAAGAGAAAGAGAGAATAGCGAGAAATTTATATATACATGAGATGAATTTTGTACATCGATTATTTAACCAATTTTATTTTCTCTCTCTCTTTCTGACCAAATGTATAGTAAATTAAATCTGACTCTTATTTTGAATTAATCTTTTAACATTTATATGTGTATACACATATATGATAATTGTGTGTGTCGATTATTTAATCAATTATATATATTTATAAAATATAATAATTTTTTCTTATATATAATTTTATTTAATATTTATTTATTATGTAATATTTATTTAATTCATCATTATTATTAATATTTATTATTTAATTTATTACTTTATTATTTTATTATTAATTAATAATATACGTGTATAAATTAAATATACATGACTATTACCGCTCCAAATATATCATTTTTTATTGTCATTTAAATTAACGAAAATCAAAACGAAGTGAAGAAAGAGAGAGAAAGAGAGAGAGAGAGAGAGAGAGAGAGAGAGAGAGAGAGAGAGAGAAGGAGAGAGTATACATGTACAGTATATGCGAGCGATGGTGGGAGAGATGGATGGACCGATACCGGAGGTTACCGTATCATTAACGAATATATACACGGGCACAAGCGCACGTTCTCGGCGTAGTTCGACGTGGATACATTTACAAGGATGCGGAGTAACATTCCGCGATGCTCGCAACGCGCTGCGGTGCGCATCGATCTCCCCGGGAATTAATTGCACATGTCGACGCGCCGATCGCTTTGTCACTTTCATGATTTGCGTACGCTGCTTGCGACGTCGTGGTGTGTACCGTGCAGATTAGAAATTCTGCACGCGTTTCGAACGTCCAACGTTGCGCCACGTTCGGATACTCGTGCGTGACATGACGCTCCCGTCGTTTCGGTAGACAAACCCGTCGATGTGAGGTATCTGGCTGCAGCCGATTGCCCTCGTTTCGCGGATCTCTCCTCCCGCAAACGTGCTTTTATCTTAAATTAACCATTCTCTTTACTCTCGTCGCGCGAGAGATTTTAAACGGAAAACGTACACCGGGGCTACCGATGATGAAATTTCCAGCAATTCATCATTATATCGCTCGTGATGTGGTCCGAATTTCAATTATAATCCTTACAAAGTCGCCGGCGCAGAATGTAACGCGTATGTAATATTTAACAGAATTAATAGAAAACGATCGGCAGTTATATCTCGTGAAACGGTTCATAATCTTATTATCGTTAACGGGCGAAATTCAAATGGCAATCGTCCATGTTTGTGATCCAGGGCTGTTTGTGATATGTAATAAATTTACTCTCTGCAATTTAGAACACACCGAGAGAGCGCTAATATTTCGACGCGTGCCATTACTTTGCTCCCCGACATTTCCGATAATCCTAAATTCATTGGGAAATAATTGACGCTCGATTCGATAGAATGTAATTTGTATACCCGATCATTAGTTATCGGCGCAGCGTTAATTGATGCGAAGCGTTTGTTATGAAAATAATATTCGTTACGTTCAATGCTTCTTTGTCGTCGCATTAATAGTGCTACTCGATGATCGCAATGTTTTCTCGTTTCCTCGCCATTATGCGAATCCATCGGCGACGACTGCATCTGACAATGCCAAGGATGAAAACAAGGGTCGTTCAGCTCGTTTCTGTCTCTTACGGAGAACAATAACCGTTTCTATCGGAAGATAGCGTGTCTTCAGCAGAAGAGACCGCATCGCTACGAAATTCTCTTTAGCCGTGCATGCACACTCTTGTAACAACCATTAATGATTACGTTTCAACCTCGGGAGTGAATCGCGCAGTTAATTCGGGACAAGGAGGCAAAATGGAACATAGCGTTACGGTAAACGAGATAAATGGCATTAAGGTCGATTTACATTGTACGACAGGACAAAAACGTAAAGATAAATACGCGTTTATATTTATAGACGAATATATTTTGCCACGTCGTTGTAATGCGAGACAACCAAAAGAGACGAAAGTGAATAATTCAGGTGCAATTATTTCAATTCAATTGTTTCATCCGTGATACATTTTTATTTAGCGCTAAATGTTGCTTTTTAATTCCATGTAAACACGCAGCGAGTGTAATATGCAAAAATTTATTTTCTCTCTTTTTTCGATATCAAGTTTTCTCTTTTACAACTGGCTATATTTAAATATGTAAAAGTATAACTTTGTATATTAATAATAAAATTTATTTTTTTACTTTTATTGAAGGTTTACCGCACTTTGAAAGCGTGAAACGATTGTTAATTGAGAAAACGGTTCTATCAGTGATGGAGCGAATATTGCATTCAGACGTCACGTTTCCTACATTTACCTCTATCGGTGATATGACATCCCGTTAATTATCTTGATCAAGCGCGACGCGCAGCGACGTGTAACGTGTCGTAACATTTCATAGGACACGTCGTATCGCGCGATATTGCGAGGTAATAAGAGAAAACACGCGGTCGGAGGTTATTATCGTTCCTTGAATTTACATAGCACATCCAGGGATTTATTTATATATGCGACCATAATTTAAATTTCACGGGAATTCATCTCGCGAGATAGATCTCTCGCGGGTGACGTATGCGTTTCGGATCCAAGTGGATTTCGCTCTAATCATCTGCTCTCACAAAATACACGCGCGAGCAAATATTCAAAATTTCCAAAATATCCGTGCGAGTGAATTCGTGGATATTTTCATTTGTCCAGTGAAAAGAGTAGGGTGATACATAATTCAAGCGTCAATATTATATCTGTTCGTCATCTTATTGATCAGGTTGAAATCGAAAAATGTACATGTATAAATATATGTGGAACACGACTTGTTATTAAAATTGCAAAGTTATCGGACATTGGAAAATGTCATTTCTATAATTCAATCATTGACCGAGTGGTTATTAGACACGTTCGAATCTCATCTTAATGCGTGTCACAATTTTGAAGGAATGTTTGTCGCCGAAAAGCTTTTTTCGACGGAAAGCAACGTCATCGTTTCTTTCAAAAATAATTTTTGAACGAGACTTGGATTGTCCTAAAAGGATGAGTATGTGAGAAATGACTTAATATCGCGTCGTCTCGAGCTCCTTTTAGATAGGATCGGATTATGGCAGATGGCACGTAACAGGCCTACAAGCGTAATGGGAATTCCAGAGTAAAACATGGAGTTGTAAAAGTTACGACTCGCGAGACTCATCCTCGACGAGTAAATCTTATTTATGACAAAAGCAATAGTTTTTTTTCACGTGTGTTTTACGATATCGCTGTTTTAATATATATATGTCTTTCGAGCGAAATTATATCATATAAAAGGAGAATCATCCTATATTATAAAATAATATACTTTTCACAATTGACGCGATTCACAGTCGATTTTGTTTAATAAAATTCACAAGATTAAATTGACAAGAATAAATTTTTTCGAACATCCAATAATTGCACCGTTTATTTGTTATCTCGCGAATCTGGAGCCGCAACAATTTTTGCAATGTTTTATGATTTTCAGCGATGTCACGTAAAAACAGCTAGTCGCTGTCGCGTCGACACTGTGTTATACCCATAACTCATTCCACACCGGGGATTCGAAATGTATTTGTTATTATTTGAACGTATGGTACACAAGATATACGTCACACATAAATACAATTCACGTGATCTATGTAAATTCACAGGGTGATCTATATAAATTTATCGAGGCTGTTGATTTGGACAAATCTCTCTGATAATCTCGAAAAATTACTATCGATTATTAAAATATATTGGGAGCACGTGATTTGTCTGTTATCCAATCTTTACGTTCCATTTTTTCGCAGAGATCTTGTTTTCTACAAAACACTCACCTGTGTGAGTACCGGATGCCGAGAGATGAGCCAGGCGGTAGATCGTCAGCAGCCAAAGGAGCCACATGACACTACACATGACTGCTCGCTGCCTTATCTGTTCCCGCTGCTGCGGCCCATGTACCAAGGCCTCGACATTGTTGTCATCTGAAATCACAGATGCAGGAATAAGTAGTCGAGCTTTACGCCTGGGCTGTGCATAATGAGACTTATTATCTCCCGACGCCATGCGAGTCCGTTGCTTCGTCGTGTCGAGTATAATCCGCGGATTAAAAATTCCAGCGTAGCGCGCGAACGTAAGAAAGTTTCGCGCCATATCCTCTTATGTTAATTTAACAGCGACCATGAATTATTTAGGACCTCGCCGAAAAGTACGACATGGAGATTAATCGATTAAGGAACAACGGATTCGTTGAATTTAATTATTATTTAATTATTAATCATAATTAATCGTAACAGATGGACGCTCACATCCCATCCCTATTCATCTTGCAAGAGATTATAAATATTAATAATCGCGCACAGAATTATTAATAAAATAGTTACTTGAAGAGGACTAGGTTGGACAAATAGAAAAATTACATTCATAAAAATAATCCGAGATCCACGGTAAAGCGAATATTTCATGCGGAATGCGAGATTCTGACGTTTTCGCGAAAAACAGCAACGGAAAAGAAGGAAGCTGCGCGGTTCAGCACTGGGCATCGTTGCTATAACGTAATTAGCTCGTTTTATACTGGCGCTCGTAAGTCGGCTGACTGCCGTGCTAATATGAAAGTATCGCCGTCTCTACGGGTATTAACTTCTAAACTTTCCCACGGGCAGCGTGCGAGGATTTTAATTAAGATATGATTAAACATCGCACAAGTAATTGAGTGAAAAAAGTAATTTGTATTAATGTCAGGGCTATTGTACATCATCGACTCGATATTTTATCTTTCAAGGAGAAACTGGATATTTAGAAATCGCAAAAGATCCTGAAAATTTAAAAAATTTACTTGTTTTACTAAAAATTAAAAAAAAAAATTATTACAATTTATTATAATTAAAAATTAAGAATTCTCTTATGGTAGATTCTAAGTTAAAAATAATAATACAATGAGATCAAAAGCTTTGATCTAAATTTTTTACTTATTTGTAGATTGATTATTAAATTTTTATTTTCATGAATTTTTGTATCGTACAATTAAAATCGCGATACAATCACTATAAAGTTAGTATTCCCAATATAAGATAATATTTATTTTACAATTTTCATAATGAAATATTTAATTATTTACAGGGCAAGTCTCTTTATTTTAACTTATACAAATTAATAATTAATTTTATATTTTAAAAAGCTAAAAGTACTTTATGCAATGTTAAATTCATGAATCTCAAAATGTATTAAATTCAACTTTTAACTCTTGACGTAACTGATTCGTCCAATTCCTTTTCAAACGCTCGTAGTTTAAAATTGAAAAGTTGTTTTAAAATTTAAGAATCTGGAAAGGTTCTTAAATGTTATAATTTAATAATCTCTTCCTACATTGCTTCGCACATATGGACGCCGATTCTCTATAAATCTCGATAAATTGATTATTTGTATGCTTCGTGACATGAAGAAGATTACAACAAATAATTGCGAAATCAGATTAAGATATATATATATATATATATCGAACACGAATGAAAAATACGCGATCTCACGTATCGCCATCGTTATTATCTCAATCACGACTTTGATGACGCAGCGAAATCAAAGGCGATTGCAATCGTGTATCACGTTACCAAGTCCTTTTAACGATTCAACCCTTTCGTTCAAGTTTGCTGATGTAATCTACGATTAACGAGATGACCAATTTCAAAGTCTCGTCGCAAGCTTATCGCAATGCTATTAAAAACTACTAATTGATATCGCGTAATGCGTCAAATTTCCAAGTCGTGTCGGATGTATTTTCCATATCGCAGCAAATTTATTTTATAAATCATATTATATCGCGATTAACGTATAATATTTTATACTTGATATATTAACATTTATGCTATTAAAATTATAGTTTTAATACTCATATATTTTCTTTTAATTATACATTTTCTTTCTTGCAGAAATCCGAAAGAAATGTCGTCGCACTAGCGTGTTTCTGATAGATAAATATCCCTGCAATTAGGATAAATGCTAATGGAAATGCGGCGAGACTCCTTTCTAGATTACATTAGCATAAAAGGCTTGACCGGAAGCCTTAGCTTTTACTCGAGAACGCAAAACTTCTCTCGTGCCACTCCGTTGCCATTGATACGCGTTCAATTTGATTTTGACTAGATGTACGAGAGCACATTTTATTTACAGTGTTTAAAATTTGATTGCGTATTTAATCACCGTCGCGTTTTAGCAGAAACCATGTGTATTCATAACTCTTGTTTTTCCTAAAATAACCGATGCAAAACGTATTTATGCAAGATAAAATAAAAAAACAATATGGAACATTTAATTTTACAATGAGCATTTTGTTAAAACGATAAAAACGAATTAAATAGAATCGGAAAATGGTATTGCTTTGCGATTCTTATCAGAAAGTTACTATACGATATTTTCTTCACGAGAATCGAAAATCGCACGTCTCTAAAAATCGATGTACAATAGTGACGCAAAGAGACCAGTATATCGATCGAATTAAATCTCTTTCGCGACGATGCGCCGTCACGACGCACTATTAATTCCGAACGATATATTTCGGTGAGCATGGAGAAAAGAGGCTGCACTATCGTTGCGATATATTTAACTTCGACCGATCTATCCCAACCCTCTTGGTGTCCCGTTAGTTTATTTCGTTGAAAATTGTAGCTCGTGCCAAAAATCGCCCATATATATCGGGCGTATCGTTACATTTATTTCATTCCATATTTTCGGATTTTTAATACTCTTTTCTTTTCTTAATCTGAATTTATACGTTTTTCCGAATCATATAAGATCTTTCATGCGATATAATTTAATTTTTAGAAACATTATCGAGTTAATTTCTTCCAACGTTATTTTAAATTCCGGATTTTATGTGTCGCAGCAGATGTTCTGTGATTTAAAATTGAGTTATTTTTCAAGAAAAATTTTGAATGTGTAATACTCGATTATTACTAATACTTGCCATTTATTAATAAAAGTGTACAGTGAAATTTAATTCGTCGGAATTTAAACTACTCTTATTGTTTTTAATTAAGAAAAATTAATTCTAAAGCTAAAAGAGTTTGTCTGTCATTAAAAAAAGATCGATTGAGGTTTCTTATTTATTTCAAGAAATAGAAAAGAATGAAAAAAATTTTTTCCCAAAAATAATTTCATGAATAAAATAAAGTTAGTCAAATATTTTTGATAAATTGATGCTCCATCGGTTCACATCCATATTAATCATAAATAATCGATGCATGATATGCGCGTCACTTTGCGGTTTTATAACAGTCAGTCGATTTATATTCATTGTGTATTTTTATATATTCAGTAATACATTGAATTTGTTTATGTTACTCGTATATTTATTCCGTTTCGTTGCATATGCTTCGCATATATTGCAAGTGCATAGGTGAATATTTGACTTTAACGCCCAGCTTATTTACACGCAAATGCTGTGACTTTTGGAAAGTTCGATATCGAATTATATACACATTGGTTACACATCGGTATGAATAATTATTCCCATTCTTGTGCAATTTGCGTTAGCCTTTTTTTGCATTAGAACAGATGATTTATACGAATACTTTGCCGGGGTGTATGAACAGGTAGAAATTCCGTGCGGCGATACTATCTGATAATTATGTTCCCTTTTGAACGGGACAGATTACCAAGCGCCATACAGGGAGTTTATAATGATTTTGGCGAACTATGTGCACAGAATGCAACCAGCAAAGTTATTAGATCACTTGATGATTCAGCAGATTCAATAAATAGGGACATAAAATTGAGAGATAAAATTGACAACGTTTCCGGATTCAAATTTTCGCGGATATAATTACGAGCGAAAATTCAACGGTTCGCGCAGTAATCTGCAAACTGGTAACATCCTAGTACTTAAATGCAACGATATAGCGACGCACGCGTTAAAGCGACCGGAGAGCGTAATCTCGTTAATCTTTTACTGCCCAACCGACTTGCGCGACCGCATCTTACGTGCAACTTGTCGCAACGCGCCCCGAATCACTCTATGTAGGGTCAGAAGGTGCCAGGAAGTTCGCAAGAGAGGCGGAGGAAGGCAGCAGGTAAAGTTGGAGCAAGTTTAACGTAGAGGATGGAACGCGCTCCGTCCATGACTTCGGGGGAGATATGAGAAGAGAGAGAGATAGAGAGATAGAGAGAGAGAGAGAGAGAGAGAGAGAGAGAGAGAGAGAGAGAGAGAGAGAGAGAAGAGAGGAGACAGTTGCTGCAGCCGTTCTTGGAGCTCGGTTTTAATGAACTTTGCATAATGTGTTGAGCTGCTTCTGTCAGCTCGCGCGACTTTCATCGAGATGCGAAGAGCACTCCCGGCGGTGTCAGGAATATTTTTATTTGCTGTGATAAAATATCCCTCTCACAGCCATATACTCCGAGTGCGAAAGGTGGCCGATACTCCGGCATTTCTTTTAAACATGATGCAAATAATAATGCCGAATGGCTTGCGCGCGATTTTACATGGACACGGCGATCCTGTAAACTAGAGTGCGCATGTAATACACGTCACACATTGAATTATTCAGCACTGCATAGCGAGGAGAAAAATCGTATCAATTGTACGGCGCGATGTAGCTTCGGGTCTTATTTTGCTTCTTTTTCCGTATCAACTAGCTCAATGTTGCTAACAAGATGGAATAATATTTCACAGTAACAGTGTCGTACTTTTTACACGTTGCATCGCATTTTTTTTACATTAAATTACCTTTAACACCTTTATCGAAATGTCGTTTCGTCTATTTTCATAGATTCATTTTCAAATTATAAGTATTAAAACTAACTGAATATAAAAGTATTTAATAAATCTAGAAAGATATTTAACGGAATATCTGGAGGTGAAAATATTCGTTGAGCTGTTTCATCGACGTACGATCGAATAAGAGTAATGATTACTTTCATATATATATGATGCATATGCGAGCTCGTACGATGAGCGCAGCAGAAAATTAAGAAGGTGGATGGGGCATTTTTA